AATAACGTGTATGTTAAATATGTGCATATTGTAACACATACATAGGCACACATATATTTGTTAAATAAGAGGAACTGTAAAAAGTGTATTTCCAAAATAGATTACATGTTCTGTCTCTGAAGAGTGAATATAAAACCTGCCTCACTCACCTACATTTCCACTATGAATTTGACTTTTAAGAATTAATACACAGAACGGCACAGTGGGAACTCTATTTTAATGGCTTATGTAAGTCTTCATTTGAAATGTCTTATAACAGGACTGTTAACACCAAGAAAATAATCACCCAGGAAGAATTTATAATGAATCTAGACTAATTGAAGTGTTTTCAGTTAGATTACAGCAATGCACTGTATTGGTTCTCCATTTTTATAGCATAGGTTTTTTTTTTTTAACATTTGTTAATTGTTTAAAATTTTCTTTAAAACAAATTTAGAGCATAAGCCTCTACTCTTCAAAGGAGATATATTTTTGGCAGATGGAATTGTTTTGAAAGATGATTAACATTTCTCTGTTTTAAACTCTGCTCTTTGAGCAGAAGTAGTGGGGCATTTATTTAATAAAGCTGTGTAGGCAGTTAGAAGTCCGGAAGCATTTATTTGAAGGGCTGTTTACAGATTGTTTCGGTTATGGACTGGGATGAAGCTGTGTGTGCATGTTAGTGTTTTGAAAGCTGCCTAGGTGATTCTTTGATTTAGTTATGTCTGGTGTGTTTGTGATTACAAATTTATATTTTAAAACACACACAAGTAAATAATTGTTCTTTCATGCCCAGTTCAATAGGATGGAAGGAAATGTGGCTTCCCACATCCTTTGATGTCTAACTTTATCAACCACACTTTAAAATTAGGAAATTAAGAGGGGAGTTTGTTTCCTTTTTTTAAGGTATGAGGAAAGAGAACTGTATTAATTTTATACTAAGCATCCAAGAATCTGTATTCTCTCACCTTTATCTTCTAATGTAATTTAAATTCAACTCCTAAAGACCCTGATTGAAGGAAAATCCTTTCAGTGCCTGTCTCTGAGCTCTGAATTTTCCAGTCCCTGGGCTTGGAATGTGGAGGAGATGAAAGAAAACAGACTTGAGAATATGCAAACATGAACTCAGACCTTCTCCAGAAGAACGTCACCCAGAACTCCCTAGCTCCTAAATTTCACTTTAAAATGTGCTTGACTCATTATCTGAGTTTGGATCATCTTAAGGCAGTTCAGATATTGGAAACTGTTGCTATATGCAGGTAAAGAACAGACTAAAATGCCTGCTTGGAAGAAAACTCTGATCTTTTATCTCACTGGGATGATTTTATGTTTAATGTGATTCTCAAAATAGTAGGGTACAAGTTAAAAAGACTAGCCCTTACATGTTCTTGCACAGGGAAAAGTTTAAGTTATAACTATGTAAGAAAGATTGTTTTTGAAATAGTATGTGGTCTCTCTTATATTAATGTTTCCTTTATATTTCTCAGTTTATTCTGTCAAAATTTATAGTTACCCTATTGATGTTCAGTCCATTGTTAATGTTCTCTAGGCTTTACCAGCACATACACACACACAGTTTTTTTTCCTCCTCTGTTTGAAGAAACTCTGGAAGGAGTCAGAAACCAGTAATGTCTTGTCAGGGGGTGCATGTGGTGATAGAAATTGGGAATATGAGGGGGGGTGGCCTTTTGGAGGGAGTAGAGGGACTGTTGACCATATTCCTTTTGATACCATCCCCAAATTAAACCATATGAATATATTATTTATATAAAATAAGGAATCCATGAGTACATTAAATAATACTTGCTTATTGTAGAGCAAGTTGAAGATAGAGGAAAACACGAAGAAGAAAAATTATCACAGCAGTATGCACCACCCTGAGAGAACATTTGTTACTGTTTTGTTGTAGATCGTCTCAGTCCAAAAGAAAAACATGTTTTTATATACAAATTTGTACATTTTGATAAGACAGTATTTTGTACCCTGCTTTTTAAAATTCAGCAATATATTGTAAATAATTTTCCAGATCCTTAAATATTTGCTTCCCTTGTTTTTAGTTGCTGCATGGTAGTCTATCCTACCTTATTTAACCAGTTCACTGTTGTTGCGTATGTATATTTTCGTAACTTTCTCTCACATAATTCCTTCTAAGTAAGTCTGTACCATCCATAATTATTTCTAGATGTAGAATTGCTGAGTCAAAGACAATTATTATTATTTTTTAAAAAGATTTTATTTGACAAAGATAGAACACAAATGGGAGTGGTAGAGGGAAAAACTAGCTTCCCCAGTGAGCAGGGATCCTGATGTGGGGCTTGATCCCAAGACCTTTGGGATCATGACCTGAGCTGAAGGCAGCCACTTAGCTGACTGAGCTACCCAGGCACCCCCAAAGACAATTATTTTTAAGGCTTTGTTAAATTGCTTCCTGGAAGGGTTGTGCTCATTTGCACTCATATGGTGTAGATGTCTCCCTAACCATAGGCTCATAAAACTGCCCAGGCGACCAACAGACACCTGATAATTCCTTGCAGTAGAGTAGTTAAAACCTGAAGATAGAGAACTCCTAGATTCATGTTGTGGGAAGAAGACAATCTGGGGTATAAAAACTAATTTTATCTTATATGCAATATGTGGTTGGCATCAGGCTATAGTAGGTATTAGCATAACTAAGTTTGGGATTTTGGGACAGTGAGTTGCTGGCATTGGCCATGAAATGGACTTTTTGCTGTACTAGATTGAAATCTTTTCTGCTAATAGATTGAATTGTGTTTCTACTGGCTAGCCTAGGATTCTATTGGAGGGATGTGTAAAACTGAACAGTTACTGGATTGAAATAGGCTTAAAAGTCAATGTCTAGGGATCCCTGGGTGGCGCAGCGGGGGATCCCTGGGTGGCGCAGCGGTTTGGCGCCTGCCTTTGGCCCAGGGCGCGATCCTGGAGACCCGGGATCGAATCCCACATTGGGCTCCCGGTGCATGGAGCCTGCTTCTCCCTCTGCCTATGTCTCTACCTCTCTCTCTCTCTCTGACTACCATAAATAAAATTAAAAAAAAAAATTTCTAGCCAAATTTATTAAAAGAGAAGAGATGGCTGGAGCTCCTGGCTAGCTCAGTCAGGGGATTGTGAGTTTGAGTACCATGTTAGGTACAGAGATTACTTAAAAATAAAATCTTAAAAAAAAAAAAAAGAGAGATGGTTGACTAAATAGCTTACACACTCAGAATCCAGAGAAAATATTGCATAGTATTTAATTGCCTTTTGAAATGTTTACTGAGCATCTTATTTCAACATGCAGAGGTACTTTGCTCTACACTGGTAGTTTTGTGAATTTCACTTTTTGGATCTTGGGGGAGAATGGAGAGAAGAGGCTAGGCAAATAATTGGCAAGAAAAGCAAATGGTTACAAGGCTGTTAACAATGCAGCCTTGTTTATCCACTCATTGCCTATCTGGATTTCTGAAACTGGATTCTTTAGCTCTGTGAACTAGTTAGCACAAGAACACTTCTTTCGTTTTTAGGGTGCTTGGAATTGTAAGCATGCTGGAAAGAACACAATCATGTATATCTTAGTTGGGTGAGTGTATCCTGTCACTGTTAGGACTTGGTGTTGTAAAGGGATTAATAGTGAGAAGTGAGCTGGGAATGGTTTATCTGTGGAAGTCTCTGGAATTGTGTCTTATTAAGTCTGTTTGTGTTACGGACATTTCATAGTGGAGAGGTTACAAAAATCAAAAGGCTGTTAGTTTTGAAACCAGAAGTCAGCTAGTCACAGTGTTAACATTTTTCATTTGTAAAGCCCAGGAGCAAAGACTGATTCATTTAATAGGTGGGGCCTTAGTTATGAGATAGATCTAATTTTATTGTATAGGCTCTTTCAAAGTACTACTTGTGAGTAGTATCTGTTTTGTAAATTTTTTTTAATACGCAGGTATTTATTTATTTATTTAAGATTTTTATTTATTCACGAGAGACACACAGAGACAGAGAGAGAGCGCACGTGCCAGCCAGAGACACAGGCAGAGGGAGAAGCAGGCTCCATGCAGGGAGCCTGATGTGGGACTCGATCCCGGATTTCTAGGATCACACCCTGGGCTGCAGGCCGCGCTAAACCGCTGCGCCACCGGGGCTGCCCTGTTTTGTAAATTTTAAGTGACACTGTTATTTCCCCTCATTTTTGGTTATGATCTGTTAGTAAATCTTACATTTTTTTTTCTTAAAGATTTTATGTTTTTATCAGAGAGAGAGAGAGAGAGATAGGAACAGAGATAGAGCACAAGTGGAGAGGGGAGGGAGAAGCAGACTCTCTGAGCAAGGAGCCCAATGCAGGGTGTAGTCCCAGGACCCTGGGATCATGATCTGAGCCAAAGGGAGATGCTTAACCAACTGAGCCCCCACCCCCCACCAGGTGCCCTAGTAAATCTTAACATTTTTATTACAAGAATGAACCAGGCACTGGAATATGAGGATACTTTTTTTCTAATTTTAACAGTTTTTGAAATAATCATTTTTTTGGGAAATAGAAAAACTAAGGGAAAGATTTAAAATACCACCCTTGTTACTGTGAGGGAGCAGAGGAAATGTTTTAAGAGGTCATTTATCTGGGTGTTGCCTGGATGGCTCAGTTGGTTGAGTGACCGACTCTTGATTTTAGCTCAGATCATGATCTCAGGATCCTGGAATTGAGCCCCAAGTTGGGCTCTGCGCTCAACGTGAAGTTTGCTTGTCCCTTTCTCTGCTCCTCACACCCCCTGCTCTTGCTCTCTCCCTCTCTCTTAAATAAATAAAATATTTTTTAAAAATTAGTCCTATATCTGGTTTTAGGTCATTTTTTGCTTGTGTGTCGTAAGCTTGCTGTAGATGTTGGCAGATAATCCTCCACCCATTTTCATTCATTCTTTTTTCTCTTGTGAAATATTTCCTTCTAGTTATCACAGAAGCATAATGAAAATTAACTTTTATTAATGATAATGTTGATTTGTATCATTTGCTTAACATCTGATTTTTGTTTTTGTTTTCAGCACTGGTTAGATGGTACAAAGAGCATCAAAAAGCAAGTAAAAAGTAAGTGTTGGAAATACTGTGAACAAAAAGTAAAATTCAGTTATATGTAATTATATATTAGAAACTGATTCCTAATAAAGAGATCATGTTTCAGATGTATTTCTTAGCATCTCTGCTTTCTAAAGATAATTTCAATTTGATACACTGACCCACCTCCTAAATTATATGGGGTTAGTAGTAATCTAGAGTCAGGTACTTTACAGTTTATTTCCCATAGAAAGGTTTGCAACTTGCAAAGGAGATTGAGTTCTCATGAGGTGCTTAACTTTTAGTAATTTCGTACATTGGAATTTTCCTGTTTGGCATCTGCCCTGCTTTATAAAATATTTTGAGACTTTAAAGTTGTAGCTTTTAGAAATTAAGAATAATGAAGTGAAACCATTCACATAAAATGTATCATTCCTAACAAATCGGGAAGATACCAATGTCCAGTTTGCCATCCCACTTGTCATTTGTTTTAAGAGGTTTCAGAGCACCTCAACTTTTGGCTTTACAAGATAATGTAAAGCCACCGAGAATTTAGAAGTTAGTGAATGAAGTAAGTGAAATGAATTGGAAAGTGTGGGGGAATTTGCTATGAACAGTTAATAACCTAGGCATTAGTACCCAAGAAATAGAGCTTGGTAGGTTTTTTTTTTTAGGGCTGTTAGATTACATAGTTAAGCTTGTATTAGATTACATAGTTAAGACTTGTGTTTGATGCATTTGGCCTCAAACTGTTAGATTCGTCTAGAGCTATCTATTCTTGGGAGGACAGCTGATTCTGATAGTACTGTATGATGGTTGGTACATTTAAAGAAATCTACTGATTGATCTTTTTTGTGTTAGCCTATCAGGCTTTAATTAGGTCATACAATATTTTGGTATGTAAAATATTGCCACAATAAGTTGTCTTCTGTCCCCACTTGAGTAGATTTTTTCATAAATTTACTGACTGAAAATTCTTACTATTTGAATGAATAGTTCCTTAAAAACTTAACATTTTTTTTGTTTTTGTTTTTTAATGACAGTTGGTTCACCCTATTGTCTGCATCTTCGAGTTAAATTTTATTCTTCAGAACCAAATAATCTTCGGGAAGAGCTAACCCGGTAAGACTATTCTCTATAGACTTGTACAGGCTAAAGCTAGCTAAAAATGTTGGAAGGTTGCCTTTATAATTCTTTCCAGCTTGTACATCACTAATGAAATGGATCTCTTGCTTTTGATTGTAAGACCTCAGACAATAGAATTTCCTTTGGAACAGTGTTTTTAAGTGTAGGATTTTTTTTTTCCTTTGGTCAATTTCAAAATAAAGAGTTGGTTCCATAGCATCCTGTAAAGGTAACTAGTGAGTTCTTTTTTTTTTTTTTTTTTTAAAGAATAATTGTCAACTTAGGGATTTTAAACAGGACTGGTGTGTTTGACTGTATTGGCATGTCACAGTTATTGATGTTCAAAATGATCTATCTTTGGCCACTGGGAGTTTATTCAGATTGGCTTCTGACTTTCTTTACCTATTGAAATGCCATTGACTGATGAAAAATATTAGATCCTGATTTGGTTTGAATAGTTTTAAATAAACTTTAAGTAGGTTATATACAGTTATTTTTATTTTGTCCTGCCTCCTTCTCATTTATTCACTCACTCTATATGGTAAATCCCTGATTCATACACACATACTATTTATTAAGTAAAAACTGAGTTGTTGAGTCCTTTTAGAAAGATTTCCTCTTGAATACTCTGCCATGAGATTATTGTTAATCTCCATAGTTACATACATGTCTGTATCCTTTCACATATGAGGTGGCTTGTATTGTGAGATTAATGTTAAATTGGATCACAGAGTTCATTCTCAATAATTTGCTTAAAACCTGTAACCTTAAGGGTTGGACTGTACTCTGTGGCCACCTATTCCTTGCTGTTATCTTATGGATATGCTGCCATCCTCCTGATGCTTATTGTCCCCATTTTTTCACATTTTTTTTTAATTATACAGATTCTGTTGTGGGTAAAATTGTATAATTAAGAATGTTTCTTCTCAAATTAGAAGGATAGGATTATTTTTTAAAGTAGATTTTTCTGTTTAGTTAAATGCGTGCCTTTTATTTTTCTTAGGTATTTATTTGTTCTTCAGTTAAAACAAGATATTCTCAGTGGAAAGTGAGTATTAGTTATTTAAGGTAAACCACATATTAAGTAGTTGAAAATGATTTTGAAAAATAAATTCATAGTAATTATGAAAAAGAAATGGTCAACGTATATTATTTCCACTTAATTTTAAAATGAAGCTTGTGAAGTTGACTTGTCTAACAAATTTGTGTTTTGGTCTTAGATTAGAGTGTCCCTTTGATACAGCAGTTCAGTTGGCAGCTTATAATCTGCAAGGTAAGCAATTCTTATGTTGACTGTTAAGAAAAAAGCATAATTCTTTTTTGTATATCTTTAGTTAAGAATTTCAAAAGATTCAAAGTGATGTGCAAGAGAAGTAACACCACTGTTGTGGAAACTTGTATCAATATCCAACCCTATTACTTTTACTTGTTTTTAGAGCATTGCCTTCTTTTTCTTCCCTTTCATTATGTTTGCTCCCTTTCCATCTGTACCTTGTTTTCAAACTAGAATTGTAGTTGACTTGATAATTAAGTATAATGGGACCTGCTTTTTTTTTTCCTTGAAAAAAATGCAGGGCTATGGGAGTAAATTTTTGCAATAGCCACAAAAGTTTTGCTTTCTTTAGTTTTATTCTTAAAAATGAATCCATGAAAGAAATACTTCGAGCGTATTTAAAAGTTCCTGATAGTTATTTTAACAATAAAATATTTTCTAGGATATGAGATTAATGAAAAACTCACTGTTTTTATGTCTTGTTATATTGACCAAATACTGTTAAGCTTATTTTTTCTGAAAAAATTGACATAAAAAGAGAAAGAAAGAAAACTATAAATTAAGAAAATTATAATTTCAGACTTCATTCACAAAACAGAAGTAAATATTACATTGCAGTATTTATACTAGAATACAAATAAAATTTAATGATTATGAAGGCATTTATACTTTTTTTTTTTTTTTTAAAGATTTTGTTACTTATCATGACAGACACAGGGGAGAGAGGCAGAGAGAGCAGGCTTGCCGTGGGGAGCGTGGTGTAGGACTTGATCCTGGGACACTGAGACCATGACCTGAGCCAAAGGCAGACAGACACTCAACCACTGAGCCACCCAGGCACCCTTATACTTTTTTTTTTTTTTTTGATGATTACATATTTATCCCCAGTCCCTCTAGGATCAGTATTTATTTGCAATTATATGGCTAATAATAAGACAAAATTTTTATGTTTTTTGGTAAATCTAATATTTCTGCTTATTTCATGCTTCCCCTATTTAAGAAAGCATATTTTCCTAGTGATAGAGGGATTGGCACCCAGAAGAAATTTCTGATTTTAGTTATTTTTTTTTAAAGATTATTTATTTATTCATGGCAGAGAGAGAGAGAGAGAGAGAGAGAGAGAGAGGCAGAGGGAGAGGGAGAGAAGCAGGCTCCAGGCAGGGAGCCTGACGTGGGACTTGATCCCAGGTCTTCCAGGATCACACCCCAGGCCGAAGGTGGCGCCAAACTGCTGAGCCACTGGGGCTGCCCTGATTTTAGTTATTTATCAGAGAGGGAGAACACAAGTGGGAGGGAGAAACAGGCTCCCTGGTGAGCAGAGAGCCCAGTGTGAGGCTCAAGCCCAGGACCCATGCATCACTACCTGAACCAAAGGTAGACACTTAACCAACTGAGCCACCCAGGCAACCCTGTACTTCAAAAAATGAAAAATTAAAAAATAAATTTATAGTAATTATGAAAAAGAAATGGTCAACGTAAAGTAGGTATTATTTCCACTTATCTTAAATGAAGCTTGTGAAGTTGACTTTCAAATTTTCAAAATTTCAATGTAAATGATCTACCTGCCCCCATCTACTATCCTAGTCTGTCTACACATTAAAATTTATTTTTGCATCTGCAGAAAGTCAGATACTAGCTTGAAAATGCTATGCGTCTAGCATTGTAATAATCAGAAGAATATAACTGCATGCATCTTGAAAGCACACTTTTTTTTTTTACATCTTATTAATTCCTATGTGAGGTTGATTAATTCTAAACTTTGAAAAGCTGTCCTTTTCAATGTATGTGTTCTACTTATGGCCTCATATGTTCTTCCTGTGTATCATTGTGTAAGTTTCATGACAGCCAAGGTATGTGTTTCCTGAAAATGTGATTTTTATATATTTTTGTGTATTTACCAAAGCACTATTCAAGGTAGTGCTTACTAAAAACTTACTGTTTGATTCATGCATTGTGGCTCTATTTTGTTATCTCTTAACTCTACTTATTACATTTTTTCCTAAGTAAAAGCTTTTTCCTACTTTCTTTTTCACCCATGGCACTATTATTTACATAATTCCTTCATATTTCATGTCATATCTTGTGTATCTCTTTGTCTCATGTATAATAGTTTGGCAATAAACTAAGTCTTAAGGTCCTTAAGAATAAATTTGCTGAAGTACTACTCCCATCTACGTAAAATGAGTTGTTTCTCATTTATGATTTTATATTTTATCAGAATAGTTTTTGTTACTAATTTTTTTCATACTTCTGTTTCAGTTTTTCCTTGCCATTTTAGTATATATCCCAAACAACTTGGGTGTAAGCCCATTTGGTTTGGTGCTTCTTAAAGTAATCTAGTGGTCATGTTAATAAATGTTTTCCAGAATTGTCGAGAAAATAGATGACAGTATATCTGTAACATATCTAAGGGTATAGAATCAATGTTCAATAAATAATGAGTTACTATCATTTTTATTATTATCTCAAGATCTATATATGTCTTCCTACACAGCTGGATTTTTTAATAAGAGTGGAAGTTTCTAAATTTTTAAATGAGTAAAATATTCTTTTAAGGAAAATTGTCTGAAGTATAGAAAATTAGAATTCCTTTCCCTAATCCCCCAAACCCTCAGTTCAGAGGTAACCACAGATGAGTACATAAATGTTTGTACATTGTCTAGGGTTTTTCCTACTGCCTCCTTTCCCCAAATATTTTTTTCTAATTTTTCTGTCAGTTATTTCTTTAGGATTAACGATTTACAATTCCAGGACAGAGACTATATCCTTTTTTTTTTTTTTTTAAAAGATTTTATTTATTTGAGAGAGAAAGAGAGTGCAAATAGGAGTAGCAGAGGGAGAGGGACTTGTAGACTCCATGCTGAGCATGGAGCCCAACCTGGGGCTTGATCCCATGACCCTGAGATCATGACCTTGACTGAAATCGAGTCAGGCGCTTAACCAACTGCACTACCCAGGCACCTCAAGACTGTATCTTTTAGTGGTGTATGATGTCATATTCTCTGCACATTAGATTTTTTTTTTTTTTAAGAGCATGTGCACGAAATGGGGATGTGAAGGGGCAGAGGGAGAGGGAGCAAGAGAATATTAGGCAGGCTCCAAGCTCAGTGGGGAGCCTGATGCGGGGCTTAATCTCATGATCATGAGATCATGACCTGACCTGAAATCAAGAGTTGGATTCTTAACCAACTGAGCCACCCAGGGGCCCCTCTGCATATTAGATTCTTAATAGATGCCTGCTAATTGTTTTTTTAAAGGTTGCTAAATATTTTTTGTTTATTTGTCATAAGGTCAAAATGTATTTCTCTAAGGAAGTCCAGAAAGAAGTTTTCAAAAGCTAAGCCTTATAAGTTATGAAATAAATGAACAGAAACACATTTATTTGAAAATATACCACCAACCACAAGTATGTGATTGTGTGTATAGATGTTGACAAATTGTTAGTCTAAGCTAGATTTAGTTTTGGGAATGATCTGGGTGTTATGACTTACTGGTAGTTTAAGAAAAGAATTTTTCTTATCCTCTTAAGAGTTTTTATTAATAAAATGAGTATTGAAGAATGATTCAGCAGGGAATAAACTGCTTAACAAAATATAACTTTGTGGAATTTATGTTTATAGCTGAACTTGGTGACTATGATCTTGCTGAGCATAGTCCTGAACTTGTATCTGAGTTCAGGTTCGTGCCCATTCAGACTGAAGAGATGGAGCTGGCTATTTTTGAGAAATGGAAGGAGTACAGGTACTTGACATTTGATCACACTTTTCTGGCCACAGTGATTTTGTATTTGTTTTCTATTTCTGTTCTTGGTATAAAATTTATATTATTATTTTGAACATTATTTTTTTTTAAATTTCAGAGGTCAAACACCAGCACAAGCTGAAACCAATTACCTGAATAAAGCCAAATGGTTAGAAATGTATGGTGTTGATATGCATGTAGTCAAGGTAAGCACTGTGTTGTGATGCTTATTAAAAAGTTTATTTCTTTAAGATTCAAGGTAACTATGGCATTTTCCAGTATGAGGGAGTACATTGACTTGGCATAGTATAGCACTGGGTACTTTGGATGTGTTGTAAACGTTGAGATTAAATACGAGAATCTCACATAAAGACTCATGAGAAAGAAGAGAAACAACCAAGATCTCCTAAAAGGCATATCTGTGCTTTTAAGGTGTTACTGTTATATTTTTTTTAGATTTTTAAGCTACTTTTTATTATTTCACTTCATGTTCGTATCATCTTGTATCACTTAAGCTGAGTAGGCTATTTAAAAATTAAAATAATTTAGGAAGTTGAAAGTGTATAGCTTTGAGAGCACTTTGATAAGCAGTAATACAGTTTGTATAGTGATTTATTTCTAGTTTATTTTTTTAAAGATCTTATTTATTCATTCATGAGAAACACTGAGAGGGAGGCAGAGATATAGGCAGAAGGAGAAACCAGCTCCCTGTGGGGAGCCCGACACAAGGACTAGATCCCAGGATCCTGGGATCATGCCCCGAGCTGAAGGCAGATGCTCAACTGCTGAACCACCCAGGCATCCCTATTTCTAGTTTAAGTAGCTAAATTTTTCCAAAAAGAAAGTCTTAAAAATTTGTAATTTAAGTGGTAAATAGAATATGAGCAGAATCCATAAGAGCTTTCTTTTTAGTGGAAGTATACCTATGTATTTTCAGTGATTATAATACTTTAAGGTGTTAGTGTAAAGTAAATGCATGAATTTTCCTGAGACTGTTGTATTGGATATTCTGATTGTTGAAAACACTTTGCATATTAATATTAGCCTGTATATAGTTAATATAATTCAATGTGAAAATAAACTGTTGTGTGAAAATGTGAAATCTGTTTTATGTAAATAAAGATAACCCATTTTGTTCTCTTTAAATTAGGCTAGAGATGGGAATGACTATAGCTTGGGACTAACTCCAACAGGAGTCCTTGTTTTTGAAGGAGAGACCAAAATTGGCTTATTTTTTTGGTAAGCAGAGTTAATGTTACAGATACTTACTTTTTTTTTTTTTTTAATGAGTAAAAAACGTTTCTGTCAAGTTAATACATAAAACAGATTTTGAAAATCAAATAATTCTGAAAAAACTGTAAATGTTTCCCCTTACCCATCTTTAGTCCTACCCCTCAGAGGTAAATTTTAAAACTCTTCCATTTTTTCCTTCAGTTTCAAGGTGTCAGAATATATCTCTTGATATATTTTATATTTCTACATGTATTAAATATTCACATGGGCACTCTGCAATCATGTAGTTACATCACTGTTTTTATTACTTCTTGTTCCACAATCTCATTACTCCCTACTTCCTGGTATGTAAAAGGAAGTTAATTTGCCCCTCCTTTTAAGTTGTGCTTCTCTTAGTAGATTCTAAATTCTTTTTTTTTTAATATTTTATTTATTTATTTCAGAGAGAGAGAGAGACAGAGATAGAACATGAGCAGGGAAGAGGGGGAGAAACAGACTCCCCATTGAGCAGAGAGCCACCCAACTTGGGACTCAATCCCAGGATCCTGGGATCATGACCCGAGCTGAAGGCAGACTAAACTGATTGAAGCCACTCAGACGCCCATAGTGGGCGTCATTCATATTTTTAAATTATATTTGTATTTTATAACAAGGATAGATTTTACTTGTATTTTGTGTCATTCATATTTTTAAATTATATTTGTATTTTATAACAAGGATAGATTTTACTTGTATTTTGTAGCCATATTTAAGTTCTTTACATCTTGTCTGGTTTGTTCTAAAAACTGAGAATTAAGAAATAAGAAATAGTGGTCATATTGTTATCCTTATGTCAGAACTGGTATAGAGGTTCATAGTGTACTGGTGTTACATTCAGGAGCCAAAGATGGGCCCCTGTGTTGTGTACTTCTTTGCAGCACACCAGGATCGTTAGCTCAAAGCCCACCAACATGAAATTCAAATTCCTGTACACCCAGTTAATTTACTTATAGCCCGATAGGTATATTTTTAATGACTTAGAGCCTGCCTGCTTTACATGTCCCACTGTAAATTGTACCCGACATCTGCTCTTCACAGAGAAGACAAATCCTGTAGCTCTAAAAGACCCAGAACCACTTCAGAGTTCTCTGACCCAGAGACTCCCTACTTGCTGCTGAAGCCACTGAGTAGACACTTAAATCTCCTCTCTGATCCCCCTCTCTCCTATAAGTTCCTATGCCCTTTTCCCCTTCTTTGGTGGTAGCTTTGTGCAGTCACCTATGGAAGGTCAAGGACTGTCTTTCTCATGCAACCTTGTCCAAACGCCTCTCAGTAAAGTTTGTTGCACAATACTGCTATCTCATGATCCTATCTTTCTTTTGATCAGCCTGGAAATCTTGAGATCACAACTGGGATTACATTTTTTTCTTTTTCCTATATAGGTTATTGTTTTTTTCTGAGTTCTTGGCTCCCCTTCCTCCCTTCTTGTAGCCTTTGAATTAACCTGCCTTTGTCATATCCTTAAATTCTTTCAAATCCTCAGGGTTGCATTAAATGATTCTTCTGTTCCAACTGGAACTGTCTGCTCTCCCAGCTACTCTGCAGCTTTTATCTATTTTCTCAGCTAGGATCCTATGTTTCTTCCTGTATTTTCCTTTCTTTCTTTTGTTTATTCTGATATATATACTCAAGTAACTGCCCAAGAGAAGCATGGTGTAGGAGGTAAATTTTTTGAATCCTTGGATGCCTTAAAATGGATTAGTCTTCTATGCTTTCTTGATAATTGGGCTGAGAATAGAATTTTAGTTTGAAAATTATTTTCCCTCAAAAAGTTGATTATATTTCATTTATTTTTGAATCCAGGTGTGTCTGCTAGGGACTTTCTGAGAGACTTCAGTGGAACATTTTCATAATTGTCCTTTGATAGGTGAAGGAGCTCTGGGCTATTTATTTACCCAGTCCTTGAGTGTTAATTCTCTGAGACTTCCAGCTTGCCCCGAGGGCAGATGGAACATACATACTTCATGGCCAGAGAATGCTGTAGGCAGAGAGATAAAGCATCTTTTGTACCACCTTTTAAGGTTATTGTGAGAATCAATTGACTTAATACACGTAGAACACTTATAAGAGTACCTGACACTTAATAGGCATTATGTATTTGTTATACGTAAGTGCTAGTTCTTCCCCTCCTCCTCCACGTATTTTACTTATTTTTGTACAATTCTTGTAAACAAGTTATGTCTTAAAATTACATTTTTTATATAAGTCATATTGAAAATTAGAATGAGAGTTGTGTGTTTTGACATTCACAGTTGATAAAAGTGCAGAGTTCACATGTGGTCGGTTGTTGAGGATTTCAGTACAAGTAGGGGATAGAGTTGGAAAAGGGCCCATAAAGTGAGATTTAAAAAATCTTTTTTTTTTTTTTAGATTAAAGATGCACTTCCTCAAACCAAAATTGATATAGAGAATAGAGTTGAAGATTTTTTCCTTTTATTATGCCTTTTAAAAAAGCTGTATAGTTAGTCTTTCCTGTATCCTATGCTGCTGCTTTGCACTAGGCATAGAGACTCTCTTGTACCATAGCTGGAAGCCTATAAAATATATATACGGATTTCCTTATTTTCTTAACATTTTTAATGTCTGATATATGTGCAGCATTGGTTTGTTAGAGATACTGCTTTTGAAATTTTTTTTCTGTTATCCTAAATATTTTTTAGATTGGAGGCTTTGCTGATGGGCAGTGCCATGGCAGAGTTATGTTTACCCTCTTAACTGTTTTCATTTTAGCAGTTAGATGATTAATGTGCTAGAAGTAACAACAAACATTTCCTTTTAATTTAGAGGACATTTATTTTAAATCTGATTTTTATTCTGATATTGTTATAGGCCCAAGATAACCAGATTGGATTTTAAGAAGAATAAATTAACTCTGGTGGTTGTAGAAGATGATGATCAGGTAGGAACTTTGCATTACTTATTCTAACGATGATGTTATGTGGTAACTCAAGTCTAATATTCTTTAAGAAAGCCTTCTTTCTTTCTTTCTTTTTTTTTTTTTTTAAGATTTTATTTATTTATTCATGAGAGACACAGAGGGAGGCAGAAACACAGGCAGAGGAGAAGCAGGCTCTGTGCAGGGAGCCCGACGTGGGACTCGATCCTGGGACTTCAGGATCACACCTTGGGCCGAAGGCAGGCGCTAAAACGCTGAGCCATCTGGGCTGCCTTAAGAAAACCTAAATTAAGCATTATTTTTTTTTTTCAGTTAACTCTGGTTCCTAATTGATACACACAATATGGATGTATCTCAATGCATTATGCTAGGTGAAAGAAGCCAGACTCAGAAGATTGACTTGTATGGTTTTCTTTATGTGACGATCTGGGAAGGGCAGGCCTATAGTAATAGAACAGATCACTAATTGTTTGAGATTAAGGAGAATGAGGAGGCTTGCCTACAGAAGGAACAGCACACAGGATTTGGGGGCACAAGATTCTGTAACCTGATTTTGGTGGTAGTTGCTAGACTCCATGCATTTGTCAAAACTTATGGAATCATGAATAAATTTAAAAAGTAACTTTATTGCATGCAAAGAAATAAATTGAAAAACATATACATATAGATAAAAGCAAGTTGGGCAATGTTAAAAAGACTCGTATGCACAATGATGTGTGAGAGGGACTACTTAGCAGAGAACCTAAAAGAAGGTTCTGAAAATTAGATGAAAATTAAATACATTTTCTAAGTTTCAAGTTTTATTTCAGAGATACATGCAAAGGATTGCCTTATCACATAGCTTAGAAGAAAATCATATAGACAATAGGGCATTTTAAAAAGAAATCTAGGGATGCCTGGGTGGCTCAGTGGTTGAGCACCTGCCACTGGCTCAGGGCTTGATCTACGGTCTTAGGATCAAGTCCCACATCAGGCTCACTGCCTGGAGCATGCTTCTCCCTCAGCCTACGTCTCTGCTTTTCTCTCTCTGTGTCTTTCATGAATAAATAAATAAAATCTTAAAAAAAATAAATAAAAAGAAATCTATTAATGATACACAGGATGATCATTGTATCAGCAATAAATGCATTGATAATGACTTGAAACAGATTTTGCATCTAAAAACTTACTTTACAAATATTTTCCTTTTTATGTAAACACATATGTGATTCAGTGATATTTATATCTAACCCTAAAGGCAGTTCTTTAAGAAGAATAAAATATAATTCTATCTGATAAGGAAATATGGTCATAATTTAATTGATGACACTTGTTCTTATTTAGGCCATAAGAAAATTGTGTATCTTACAATCAATGTCATTTTAAATTTGATCTTACATAGTATTAGCTTCTTAGATATCTTTTTGAAGGTATTTTATATACACACACAAGCAAATGTGTATCAGTTCTTTTTTATGCAGAATTTACCATGCTTTTAGACTGTTCTGTACTAATCCTTTTTAAACTTTATGAGATAACTTTTGGAATATTTCATATAACTATATAGAATGCTTCTTTGTTTTGTTTTTTTATTTTTATTTTTTAAGATTTATTTATTTATTTATTCATGAGAGAAAGAGAGAGAGAGAGAGAGGCAGAGGGAGAAGCAGGCTCCGTGCCAGGAGCCTGACGCGGGACTCGATCCCAGGACTCTAGGATCACGCCCTGGGCCAAAGGCAGGCGCCAAACCGCTGAGCCACCCAGGGATCCCCCTGTTTTGTTTTTTTAATATTTTATTTATTTTTTTTGAGCAAAAGAGATCACAAGCAGGAGGGAGAGGTAGAGTGAGAAAAAGACTCCCCACTGAGTAGGAAGCCCAGTGTGGGACTTGACTGGGATCATGACCTGAGCAGAAGGCAGATGCTTAACCGAGGGAGTCATGTAGGCACCCAAATGATTCTTTGTTCTTATTTAAAAAAAAAAAAAACAAACTAGGGACACCTGGGTGGCTCAGCGGTTGAGCGCCTGCCTTTGGCTCGGGTGGTGATCCCGCAGTACTAAGATTGAGTACTACATTGGGCTCCCTGCATGGAGCCTGCTTCTCCCTCTGCATCTGTCTGTCTCTCTGTGTCTCTCATGAAAAAAAAGTAAATAAAATCTTTTTAAATTAAAAAAAAAAAACAACAAACTAAACTGCATAGTATTCTGAATGGATATACCCTAATTTATTTAATAAATTCACAGTCAACATTTTTTCACAATATATGCATGAGCTTGCACGTTGGCAAGTATTTGTAGGATAATTTCCTAGAGGTGGATTTCCTGGTTCACATGTGCATTTGTCCTGACAGATCCTACCAAGGATCAAACCTCTTTCCTCAGAGGGAGTTGTCACATTTTTATCTGAAAGGTGAAAAATGGAATTTCATTGTAGGTTTGATTTTTATTTCTGTTATTATGAGTGATATTGAATATCTTTTCATAAATTTAATTTTTTTGTAGTTCCTTTTCTCTAAATTATGCATACATATCCTTTGCCCATTTTGTCATTTGGCCTTTTTTTCTTACTGATTTTGCCCTTTATCATAGAAACTGTAAATATTTTATCTAATAGTTGTTTGTTTTTTAACATTACATATCGTGATTTCTTTAAAAATTTTTAAAGAGGCAAATTTATCATTCTTCCATGACTTACAGAAGGGTTTTTTCTACTTTGAGATTGTATGTTTTCCCATGTTTTTTCTGTGTATTTATTGTTGGTAAGTTTTGTTGAAGTGTAACACACATTCATATAAGTGCAAAAATAAGTGTGCAGCTTGTTGGATTTTCATAAACACCTGTATGACCAGCACCCAGATGGAGAAGTAAGTAGAACTCTGCCAGAGTTACATGCTCTCTTCTGTGCCTGCCAGCAGGTACAGGCCTCCAGGGATAATAACTGTTCTCCTGACTTTAACACCATGTTGATTTTTGTTGATATTTTGAACTTTATCTAAATGAAACATGACTGATTGTTCCCTTTGTGTCTTCAGTCCTCTTGTAGCTGGTTGTTAAAAGTTGGCTCATACTTACTGTTACATAGTATTCCATTTTTTATATAGACCACACTTATTTATCCATCCTTCTGTTGATGGGCATTTGAGTTATTAGTTAGGATATGCACATGTTTGGCTTTTGTGGATACTGCCAAACTATTTTCAGAAGTGTTTATACAAATTTACATTCTCACCTGCAATATAAGAGAGTTCCATTTGTTGTTTATTTGCTGTTCGGTATTCTTTTCATTTTATTCATCCTGATGGTAGAATGATTTTGTGGTTTTCATGTGCATTATTTAGCATTTATTTGTTTACCACTCATATATTTATTGAATATTTGGATATTCTCTTTTTTGAAGTGCCTGTACAAGTCTTTTGCTCATTTTTCTATGGTCATATGCTTTTAATTTTTTATTTATTTATTTATTTATTTATTTATTTATTTATTTATTTATTTATTTATTTATGATAGTCACAGAGAGAGAGGGAGAGGCAGAGACACAGGCAGAGGGAGAAGCAGGCTCCATGCACCAGGAGCCCGACGTGGGACCCGATCCCGGGTCTCCAGGATCGCGCCCTGGGCCAAAGGCAGGCGCCAAACTGCTGCGCCACCCAGGGATCCCTGGTCATATGCTTTTTTTGTCATTGAAGTTCTTTATGTATCTGAACATCAGTTCTTCATGGATATATATAGGTGTTGCAAGTATATTCTCCTTGACTTGCATTTTGACTCCTTTAATTGTATGTTTTGGATAGAGTGTTTCAATTTTAATGTAATAGAATTCATAAATTTTTCTTTGTAGTCAGTACTTTCTAAGTCTGAAAATTTAAGAACCTTTGTCTATGTCAAAATCATGAAGAAACAACATAGAGTTCATATATTTTTAAATGAAAAAATATCTAAAAAAATAAAATAAAATGACAAAATAGTTTAACTTATAAAATATTCAAAGTACACTGGAAAATACAAAAAATCATAAACATGATATCCTTTTCACTCATTTAGATTAACATTTTTGGCATTGCTGCTTCAGAATTATCTCTTAGAAATAGGTAAATTAATAACACTGTATTCAGTGTTAGTCTAAAGTCTAACCCTCTAGTTGGCCCCTTTCTTCCCGGTAGCTGGCCATCATTATTGGAGGGTATCATTTTCATACTTTCTTTTTACAAATATAAAAACATCATAATACATGGGATTGTTTTAAAAATTTATATAAATAATATATGTATATATATATTTTACAGTCTACTTATTTTATCTAAACAGGTATAGCCATGTAGATCAGTTTATTCATTTTAAACTATATATTCTGTATTATTCTGTAATATGAATAAACAGTAGTACATTTATTCGTCTTCTATTTTTCTTTTTGTAGAGTTTTAAAATATGTTATTTACTTGATAATTTCTCTTGTTTTGGTTATTTAGGGTTTTATGCCAATTTTTACTCTTCTAAATGAGATTGTGAAGAAAATCTTTGGGTATAAATTTTGGCGTTAAGAAAATATTTTTCCTTAGATGATAAAGCTTAGTTGTTACAACCAGGCACTGGAGCACAAATAGGTTCCAAATTCTGGTTTTCTTTGTGACCTTGGGCTTATTTCTTGAGCTTCAGTTTCCTTATCTGTGAAATGAAGCTAATGATAGTATTTACTCACTGAGTTAATCCATGTGAAATGCTTAGAAAAGTACCTATGAATGTTAATTATCATTAGATTACTGAGAGTATGGTTACTGTGATGAAGAATGTACACACTTTGAAGTCTGTTGATATATATTGTCAGATCTTGTATCATCCTTTATATATTTATCCCAAAGTATGGCAAATGAAGCCTCAGTTGAGGTTTTTTTGAGAAATGAGGTCATTATCAGCAGAGTGGACCCTTTTAGGGATAGTTTTACATTGGCTATGAAAGTGAACAGCCTGATTTCAACTCTTGCCTTTTTTTTTTTTAAGATTTTATTTATTTATTCATGAGAGACACAGAAAGGCAGAGACATAGGCAGAGGGAGAAGCAGGCTCTCCATGGGGAGCCTGATACAGGACTTGATCCCAGGACCATGGGATCATGCCCTGAGCCGAAAGCAGATGGTCAGTCACTGAGCCACCCAGGTGCCCCCAACTCTTGTTTTTTTGTGTAGGTAGCTACAGAATGTCTGAGTTTAAGGGAGCAAACTAGATGCTTTATTATTTGTTAGGATTGCTGTGGTTGTATTTGTAGGTGAGTAACAAGGAACAGAACTGTTTGACCTAATAATTACCTCTCTTTACAACCTTTTCTTTTTCAGGGCAAAGAGCAGGAGCATACATTTGTCTTTAGACTGGATCACCCAAAAGCATGCAAACATTTATGGAAATGTGCTGTGGAACATCATGCATTCTTTCGCCTTCGAGGTCCGGTCCAAAAGAGTTCTCATCGATCAGGATTTATTCGACTAGGATCACGATTTAGATACAGGTGAATATCAATAGCTACTTGCTATATCTTTCATTCTTTCATAAAGCCAAAAAGTTTAGGCTAACTTCTCATTTTACAGATTTAGAAACCAAGGCATAGAGAAACAAAGTGGTTTGCCAGTGTTTTCCACTGGCCAAAATAAAAGACAAAGTGGTATTGTTATTGGCTTTAATTTCTTGAATAGACAGGAAAGCATTATACTGATATAATCATAATTGATTTTATATTCCTCTTGACATTTACTTTCTATATTAATTAACCCACAATTTAAATTCATGTAATAAGAGTCTTAAGGAGTCTCCATGCAGTAGCCGAATGCCATATAGAAAAAGGGTATTTATTGTGCACTGAGAAGGAAATTAATTTGGGTAACATTTCTTGTCCTTTATAAACCTCAAGTTAATTTAATTTTATAGACTCTGCATCTTTGTCCTAGGTTAGAAATGTTTTAGTTTACTTGAGAATAGATTATTGATTATGAGTTTTCAGCACACCCTGAGAGTCAGTATGATTTAAAAAATGAATGGATAATCTTGTGGCAAGTTGATTGTGTGGGATTCATGTAAGTTCTATTCTACTTTGATTAAAAGTGAGGGGGCAGCCCTGGTGGCTCAGCAGTTTAGTGCCACCTTCAGCCCAGGATGTGGTCCTGGAGACCCGGGATTGAGTCCCACATCAGGCTCCCTGCATGGAATGGAGTCTGCTTCTCCCTCTGCCTGTGTCTCTTGCCTCTCTCTCTCTCTCTCTCTCTCTCTCAGTCTGTGTCTCTCATGAATAAATAAATAAAATCTTTAAAAAAAAAAAGTGAGGAAGTATTTTCTTAAGAGAATTCCAATGGAAGTCAAAGAGAATGGGAAAATAGTTTTCAATATTTCTGGAAAATTACTCTCTGAAAAGTGTATCACAATTAGAAAAAAATAACAAAATCTTTAGTTAATTGCAAACTTTATATGAGGTGAGTGAATGGAGAGAGGAAAGGAGTTGCGTAAGAGTATAGATATTCCAAAGTTATTCAGTATGTTCTTAGGCACATGCATGCTTATGAAAAAAAAAATACAATTTGCATGTTGTGTAATTTCACACCAGCCTAAAATGTAGAACAACAATGTAAAGAGAGACATCAAGGCTGTCAGTGTAATTCCTTCAGGATGAAGCTCAGGATGGTTCTTTTAAGGGCACACTTAACATAGACTTCCTCTCATGGGTATCTGATTACTGTAGGCCTTAAATTCTCTTCTTCCTATTAATATGCCTCATTTATTTTAGTGGGAAAACTGAGTATCAGACCACCAAAACTAATAAAGCAAGAAGATCAACATCCTTCGAAAGAAGACCCAGCAAACGATACTCTCGAAGAACCCTACAAATGAAAGGTGAGATGCAGCCCTGTTTCAGAAGACTGTTCCTTCCTTGACAGTCCATCATGTGCTGGTATTGTTTGCTTGAAAGGAATGAACCTTAAGTTTATTCAAGTCAACTGAAGTACCCTTATTTATTAACTTTGGTTTTGACAGAATCAATGTAAGAAAAAAGGAAAAATTGCCTATATTGTTGCTGAGATTAAATTTTATGTTAATCCTAATTCAGGTACTATTTTGAGTTTGTGTTTAGTTTTTGTTCGTATCTGTTTTACTTCTGTTGAGTAACGCTTTCCCTTCTCTTTTTGATGGCTGATGATTTCATTAATCATAATCTCTCAAATGCCATGAGGAACTTCAAAAAAAATCATTGGTATATGATGAATAAATTTTGAGTAACGATTATTTCATACAGTATTATTAGGATACTTTTAAATGGTCTTTAAATTTAACGTCAATATATATTTAAGTATATTTATGTAATATAAAACATGATTTACTTGAAAAACCAAAAGTTGTGTTTGGTTTTGAATCTGAGTTTGTATTAAAATACAGATTGAATTTTAAGTATGTTCAGTTAGGGTCATCCCAATTGTTTAGAAACAACTGTGCTACCCTGATATTTGGCATAAAAAACTGATTTTATATTCATCATTTTTGTTTAGTCTGACTATAAATTAAATAGTATATAGCTATTAATGAAACCATTTTAGTTCGTGATGATTGAAATTCCTGAGTTACCTCTTGTTTTCCACTGACATTGTTTTATTATCACTTACTTCACTCTAGGAGCCTTGCAGGTAGTTCTTGTTTAAAAGAAGATGTTTATTTTACAGCTTTATTTTAAAAATGGGAAGAATTGTCATTATTGATTTTAATTATGTGAATCCTAGAACATTTTGTGAAATGACAGTTTTTAAATCTATAATTGGGAAATATGCCTTTAAAAAGCTGTCCAGATTTACTTTTATGAGTAATGAAGCAGTTTACCATGTAAGTGGAAACTAATGGGACATTTCCTTTTTTTTTGTCTGTCAGCAAGTACAGCAAAACCTGAAGAACTCAGGTGAGTAATTTCTTACAACTTAGGAACAGAATGTTTTAGAATTTATGTCATTAATTAAATATTTGTTGAAGACCTATCAACATGTGAAGTTGTCCCTGAGCATTGGGACAAGAATATGCATATGATCCCATATAAAACTGACACAAAGAAAAATAAAGTAGCTTAAAGAAATAGAGATAGGAATGGGGATGGATGTTTGCTTATTTATTTATGAGAATGACATTTGTTATTGGAGTGGGGATGGGTGTTTATTTATAATGAGAACGACATATTTGTTATTGGCTTGTTACTGAGAATATAAAGATGAATAAATTAGAGTTCTTGCTTACAAGTAGCTCAAAGAACCAAGATTTATTGCAGATAAGCAATTAATTTTGTTTCTGGGATAATCTCCACTTTTCATGGTGTATAATTCTTAATGTCATAGGTTGATAGATTTAGTAATTGGTAGCATTTTGTTGTGGATTTGTATTTGTATATTTATCAAAGATACTGGTCTGTAGTTTTCGGGTAATTCTTCATCTGATTTTGGTTTCGGGGTAATTCTGGCTTCACGGCATGAGTTGAAAAATGTTTCTTTCCTGTTTTGGGGGGAAGAATTTATAAAAGAATTCTTTAAATGTATAGTAGAATTCACCATTATAAAGGCCATCTTGCCTGGACATTCTCTTTGTGTGAAGTTTTAAAATTCAAGATTTAATCTATTGGTACAGACCCATTCAGATTTTATTTTTCGTTTTGACTCAGTTTAGAAGTTTTTCTGGAATTTGTCCATTTCATCTAAGTTATCTAATTGGTGGCATACAGTTGTTCATGTTTGTTCCCTTTTTTTATTTCTGTAAGGTTGGTAGTGATGTCTCCTCATTTATTCATAATTTTAGTGATTTGAGGGTTTTTTTTCCCCTTGGTCAGTTGAGGTAATTGCCTCAGTTTGCCTATTTTGTGAGCCTTTTCAAAGAATCAGCTTTTGGTTTCATTGATGTTTGTTCTGTTTTTCAAGTTTATTATTTTTCCCTCTGATATAGTCTTTCTTTTTTTAATTTTTTAAGTTTTAAGTAGGCTCCACACTGATGACCCCAAGATTGAGTTGCATGCACTACCCACTGAGCCAGCTAGATGCCTCTGATATATTATTTCATTTCATTTTTAAAAAATATTTATTTATTCATGAGAGAGGCAGGGACACAGGCAGAGGGAGAAGTAGGCTCCCTGAGGGGAGCCTGATGGGGGACCTCAATCCTGGGACTCCAGGATCACACTCTATGCTGAATGCAGACCCTCAACCATTGAGCCACCCAGGCATCCCTATTATTTCATTTCTTTTTTTTTTTCATTTTTTAATTTTTATTTATGATAGTCACACACAGAGAGAGAGGCAGAGACACAGGCAGAGGGAGAAGCAGGCTCCATGCACCAGGAGCCCGACGTGGGATTCGATCCTGGGTCTCCAGGATCACGCCCTGGGCCAAAGGCAGGCGCCAAACCGCTGCGCCACCCAGGGATCCCTATTATTTCATTTCTTATACTTGCTTTAGGTTTAGTGTGCTTTTCTTTTTCTAGTGTCTTAATATAGGAAATTAGGTTATTTGAGATCTTTATTCCTTTTTTTTTCCCCTAAATTATTTGAGAGAGTGTGTGTGTTATAGTGGATGTGCAGAGTAGGAGGGAGAGGGACAAACAGAAGTCCTGCGATAACCCAATTAATTTTAATAACACACACTACAATGTATAGTTTCGTATAATGCTTCTCAGCTATTGGTATGTGTCAGTCCCTGGACTATCTGTTAAAGTATCAGCTTCAAGACATACTTGCAAATCTAGTTAACTCTTGAATTTGTCTGTTCTTATATGGCAGATGTATGGGTAGAACTTCTTCAAAAGGAGAAATCGTTTGATTTGGGGTACTGTGGATGGTCAGCCTCTCTCTCAGAGGTCCTATTTTTTTCCTTCCCACTTAGAAAGGCATTAGAGTCCATTTGTGATTGGTGATTCACCATAAAAGCACTCTGCTTTTTGAATAAGGACTCTCCTGAAGTTTCAGTAGGCTGTTAAAAGTAAATGAGAGGAAGTGAGTGATTCTTTCTACTGTAAATTTTTAATTAGGTAAAAAACAAAGTTTTCTACTTTTCCTGAGTAGTACACTTTAACTTTCATTGTAGCTATTTATAAGCTATACCTTTAAGAAAAAAGATGGAGAGATGTTAGAGGTATTTAATACTTTCTAAACTATTTTGTTGTTTAATGGATTATGTCTTGCTTACTTGAAAGGGAAGCTGGGACAGAATATTAGAGCTTAAAATAAGGAAGATGACCTGGTGAATTTACCAGAAATGTAAACAAAGTATTCCAGCAATAATATGTAGTTGAAAAATTAAGATTTTTATTTGTGATAATTTGTCCTTTAAAAAATTTTTAAGGGGGGCAGCCCCAGTGGCGTAGCGGTTTAGCGCCGCCTGCAGCCCAGGGCATGATCCTGGAGTCCTGGGATCAAGTCCTACATTAGGCTCTGTGCATGGAGCCTGCTTCTCCCTCTGCCTCTGCCTCTGCCTCTGCCTCTCTCTCTCTCTCTCTGCATCTCTACGAATAAATAAATAAATAAAATCTTTAAAAAAAAATTTTTTTTAAGGGGTGCCTGGGTGGCTCAGTTGATTAAGCATCTGCCTTCGGCTCAGGTTATGATATCAGGGGCCTGGGATGGAGTCCCACTTTGGGCTCCCTGCTCATCTGGGAGTCTGCTTTTCCCTCTTCTGCCCCTCTCCACTGCTCATGCTCGCTCTTTTTCTCTCTTTCTGTGTCTCAAATAAAATCTTTAAAAAATATATATATTTTTTTGTAATACACATTCCTACCAAAAACTTAAGAAGTATCTTGACTATGTAGTCTCTTACCTAGAATTAAGATTAATTTAACTTTAATAACTAAATTTTATTATCCTTGCTTGAATAATACTTTGGCTCTGGAAAACACACCAGAAATGGGATATTTAAGCAATGATACTTTATTGTTATTTTTTATAATGAATTTTTAAATCTGAAATGTAGAGGGGGACCCAGCCCTTCTGAAGGTTATTTACCACTCTTCATAACACTGTTGAGAACCTGAGTTTGGACTGGCATGAATGCCCTTTCATTCTTGCCCTTGTAGTTCTGTTTGCATGAACAGTTTTGCTCCACTGAACCATGGAAAACAGTACTGTTTGAAAAAGCACAGCTATTTGACCTAAAAAGCCTCTTGACCTTGTACTGTGCCTATTTGATTAACAGGTTTTTAAATTGGCTGATGTCAGTGGTTTTCCTTATACTGTTTTATCTCCTAATCCCCATGAGTCTTGACTAATATAAAGTATCCTAAGAAGAGGTGACATTTGAAAGGATAGATCACATTTCAGTGATTAGTACTTTTGTACAGGCTTAGCTGACAGAATCTTGAAGACGGAAATGAGAGGAAAAGAAGGAATGGCAGATTAAGTGAATATAGAGATTGTAAGAGCAAAAGGGGTCAGTTATTGCATGTGGTCCTTTGAAAGGGGGAAGCTTGGATTAAGTCCGTAATGAGAAATATTCATTCCTACTTGGGTGTTATTGGAAGTGAAAAAATACATGTGCAATTAGGAGAAAATACTGCTTACTACATTTCAAATTATTTGAAAACAGGCCTATGATTTGATTAAGATCACTTATAAGCACTTTTTTTCATGTTGTTATTCATCTTTTGTTTATCATTTGCTGGAGTTCTTCTCAGTTAAAGGAAAAGCTTCAGGAGTGCCCAGATGGCTCAGTTAAGCATCTGCCTTTGGCTCAGGTCATGATCCCAGGGTCCTGGGATTGAGCCCCATGTTGGGGGTGGGGGATCCCTGCTTGGTGGGGAATCTACTTCTCCCTCCCACTCTCCTTTCAGGCTCCCCTTCTCCCCTTCAAATGAATACATAAAACTTAAAAAAAATAAAGGAAAAGCTTCAGAGAGTTACCATGGGGATCATCCAGTCAAGCAGTTTGGATGAGATTTCATAATATGTAGGATTATGAGTTACTTAAACCACCATATTGTGTTCTGGGAGCAGCGACAGTCAAAAGGAAACCGTTTCATGCAAATGAAGAACCTAAGGTTTAGAGAACAGAACTAATGGTAGTGGCACAGCTTGGATTTGAACCTGGGAAATGGTAGTAGTGCAAGTTCTGGTGACTCAACTTGTAGTTGTAGGTAATAAAAAATAAGATGTTTTTAAAATGGGTTCACTTCTCATCACCTAGCCTTTAGCAAGGCCTCTTCATTCTTGAGTTCTTTCTTAATTGGTTGTCTTTTATCAGATTGTTTTTGTTTTGCTCTCCCCTCTCAGAGAAAGGCTCTTGGATATTATGTTCAGAGTTTGGTTTGAGAAGCTTTACTCATTTCCTTTTTTTTGAGATTTTATTTATTAGAGCATGAGCACAAGTACAGGGGATGGGGAGCAGAGGGAGAAGCAGACTCCACTGAGCAGGGAGCCCAATGTGGGGCTCGATCCTGGGTCCCTGAGTTCATGACTTGAGCTGAAGGCAAATACTTAACTGACTGAGCCACCCAGGCACTCCTGACCATTTCCTTTCACTAGAAAGACATCTTTACTGGGTATAATATTCTTGAGTATTGCTATGAAAAGGTCTGTGCCAGCCAGGTATTGGCAGTGATTTCCTTTTAATCTCTATGGGTTACCTTAAGTATTCTTTCCTTATCCTTGAAAGTCAGTAATTTAATAATAAGAGCTTAAATGCACTTAATTCCCAGTCTCCTTTTCCTGGAATATAGTGCTCTCATTAAGTCTGTGGATAATTTTTTCACTTTCAAGGAATTTGTGTTTGTGTGTGTGTGTGTGTGTATAAAAAACTTTGAATATATTTTCAGTTACCTAAGTTGAATTATTTACCTCAGTGTACAAGGATGCTTATGTTAGAAGGTCTGAAGGCAGTAAACTCTTTTTCCCCTTTGTTTAGTAATATGTCACTGTTGAGTTATTTCATTGAATGTTCTCTTTTTCAGCTGTTCTGAGATTTGTTTTTGTTTTGTTTAATTTATTTTTTAAAGATTTGATTTATTTTTTTGGAGAGAGAGAGAGCACAAGCAAGGGGAATGGCAGGCAGAGGGCAGAAGGAGGAGCAGGGAACCTGATGTGGGGCTCCACCCCGGGACCCTGGGATCATGACCTCAGCCAAAGCAGATGCTTAACCCACTGAGCCATTCAGGCGCCCTAAATATTTTGTTTTAGATTGAGTTTTTTAAAGTGCTTTTTTGTGGGGAAGTGATGGAGGAGGGAAATGAATATAGCTTAAACTAAAAGTTTCAAAACATATTTATAAATCTCTTGGAGTGGAAAGAGGTTTCTAATTTTAACTTTATATTAAGGCCTTTTGAATTATCAGCTGCTGGGCTGTTGATGACTGGAAAATCTTTAGAGTGTAGGAATATACAAAAGAAGTGACACAGGTAAGTTTATGTGGATATTTGTGCTTAAAGCCTTGAATTTAAGATATCATTTGTGCTGCTCTTTATTTTGCCATCTTTGACAGATACCGTTCAATGAATAAACAAGATTAGTAGTGAACTACACATTTAAAGCACAATTAAAATATAAGTATATGGAAATTTTAAATGAGCAGATTATAGAAAAAAACAATGTTTTAAAAACAAATGTTTTCTGAGCATCTTTAATTTTTAGTTTTAGGTACTAATAGTAATTTTTTCTTTACTTGCAACAAAACAATGCCTTTAAAAATAAAGGTACTTTCATTACTGTATGTATAGTCTTACAATATGAAACCCTAGAATTTTATATATGGTTTTTTAATACATGTTTTTCCCCACAGTGTTCACAATAATGTTTCAACTCAGAGTAATGGATCCCAACAGGTGAGATGATACTAAACTTGTAAACCCTAGAATACTAGTTAATTATGACAGATAGTGGTATAACTTTGGGAAGGTTTTGTCTGTTTTCTTTTTATATCTGTAAAGTGGCTAAATAAATGAAACCCTCTGTTATTATCTGAGATGTTGTAAATTGAACAGGTACCCTATAGGACATTTTCTGTTTCTGTAAATCCTATAAAATAAGGAATATCTTAATATTTAGTTAAATTATTATCTATCTCTGAGGTAGCACACAACATGCAAGCATTTGTTTGCACTATGTTTGTAGATAGTAATCCATTTTAATATTCCGTTTATTGGAGACAAAGTCATGTATGTGGGCAAAAATGGATGATTTTTATAATTTTATCCACAGGCTTGGGGTGTGAGGTCAACTCTGCCTGTGATTCCTTCTGTTCCCTCTGGTCCTGTGCTGGCAGAGATAGAGAATCTTCCAAGGAATCCTGGATCAAACCAGTATGACAGGAAATGGTTTGTTAACTCCTTTAAACCAGAATAAAATCTTGCTTAATGGTATTCTAAATTCTCCACCATAATCTTAGAATACTTTAAATATGATTGAAAACAAATTATTCATATTTGTAAGCTGAACAGAAACATACCGTTGAACAGTCATACTGGGATTGGGAAAATAAGGGATATGTATAAGAAGGGAATGTAGTTATTAATTTAAGAACATCAGACCTCTCTCCTTATTTTGGTTAGCATGATTAGAAGTGGTGGGTGGTTCTCTGTTGAATAGGGCTTCAATGCTAGTCAGTAGAACCTTTTTCCAGATCAGTAAGGAAAATATGTTTGTTACATGTTATTGCACACAACATAATGCTAGTACTTTGGATGTATTTTTTCATTAAAGACTGAAGAAAAGCCAAAAGGGAAAGATGATTATAATCTAATAAAACAAAGCATTAAAATGCTTCATTTTGGGGGATGGAGAGAGAATCTGATGACAGAGAAGATACTTTACTTGTTGAGATTTCCAGGATCTTTTTTACATTCATAGTTAGTACACAAATATGAATACTTTGTGGCTTATTGGAGTGTAATCAGTAGTGTTCATCATTTCCCAAATACTGTATGTGGTTTGGAGGGCTCCTCGGGAATTACTTGATTGAGTGGTCACGTTGCAAATCTGTAAAATGAACTTTGATAATTTATAGGATTTTTTTCTTTTTCTCTTGCTCTTAGTTTGTTTAGTACCTGAAATCTAATGAATTTCTGTGGTGATCTCAAGGTTTTGGTCAGCTTTCTGAGCAGCCAGTTCTTCCTTCATGGTGGTGGGTCAACAGTGGTTGGTGATTATTTTCAGTCTTTGCTATGTAATTGTTTTTCACTGTTATTTTGGCTTAACTAACTTGCAAGGTGCTTTGCTCTCTATCGTTGGGCATATTTTTACTTCAGTTCCAAATAACTTGATTAGTTTCTAAGATTGAGGGAATTTTTTTTCCTTTTTTCTGTCTTTTTCTTTTACTTATACCAGAGTGTGGTGGGGGTGCTTTGTGTGTGCGTGTGTGCATGTGGGCACACACTTAAAGTATGAACAATGAGGCTTCTAAATATCAAATTTTAGTCTTTATTTTTTTTTAAGCGATTAAGGAGTTTCTTCAATTTCTTACTGAAAACACAGCTCCAGTAAGTAGCTATGTTTTATGGCCTTGGTATTACCAAGTCCTGTTGGCAAGGAAACCAGGACTTCACCTATAAAAGAACTCCCTTAATACATGCTTACTTTTTATATTAATACAGAATGAGAGTCTGGGGGTGGGAAAGGTTGCATAGTATATATGTCACTAAGTCTTTATTGAGATTTCTGATTTTAATGGGCATGTATTCAAATCTATTTAATTTGATTTATTAGGCAGTACTTAGTTCCTTTGGCACAACCTTTAGAAAGAGTACTGAATCTGAGAATATTGAATTTTAAGGAAAATGAAAAATTTGGAGCTCTGTGTCCTTCCCTTATGTACTTGTGCTGAGACCTCCTTTGCTGAAATGGAGTAAAATGGTGATCCTGAAAACTTAATGAGCCTCAATGTATGTCAGCAGTGGCATGGAACTGAATATAGAACTGATCTATCTTGGAGCTAATGAATTCCCCAGCTTGAATTTAAAGTGCATTCTATATTTCACTTGTTTCTGCATGCTTTTATTGTTATTAATGCTCTTAAATGAATATAAAACAGTCCTCCTTTAGAAAGTGATAAATTAAACTGAATAATATATGGGAAATCTTGCATATATTGGGGAGAACATAAACCTAACTGAATTTCCTAAAATTTCAGAGACTGCATACAGAGGTCATGAATTTTATGGGATAGATATGATAAATAAATTGTATACCCTTTGAAGAAGAAATGATGATTTTATTGTAAAGCATTCAAGTTTGTTCTGAAAAATCCTTTTAGTTAATTTCAGTTTTCTTAAGGAAAAAGAAATTTGAAGATTCATGTTTTAGTTGGGTTAGAAAAAAAATATTGTATTTAAAAATTTATCCTTAGACATCTTATATAATTGGGGTGGGTTTTTTTTTTTTTAACTTGGAATTATCTTAAATATGTGCTTCCCTTTTTGCTGTGTTGCAAAACCTTGATTTTCTGAACCGTGACAAATGTTTTCTTTCTACTGGAGGACTCTTAATTATTTCTAACCAGGAACTGCTTGTATGCATGCTTCACTCTTCGTTCTGTAGGCCTATTCTATAGCACTGTGTAAGAAAAAGGTTTCTTAATATACTTACTAAAATGTTCCTTAGAGAGGCTTACAATCTCATCACATTATCTGTACCTGTTGAATTTCATTCTGAAGTCCTATGAACTTTGATTATAGAAGGGACAGTGATTCTCCACTGTGTTAATTGGAAACATTCGCATAAAATTACATGGCCTCTGAAGTACTTGTTTTTTTTTTTTTTTTAATACTCTTTCTGAATTCTGTTTCCTGGATTTCAGTTTTGTGAAATCACTTAATTTGGAGAATAATTTTCATAGTTGCCATTTTCTGTATGTGCCTTTGTCCATAATGTAGAAGTATCCTTTTAAATATTTGAATTAAGTAGATTACAAATATTTTTTTCCTTCTCATTAAACTTCAACATTTCTAGCTTTGATTTTGGTGCCAACATCAGGGACAGATAGAGTGTTTTGCTCTCTCTGAAATTTCCTCTTTATATAATTCACTTAACTGACTCTGATTACTTACTCATATTTCCATATTGAGTTTTTCCACTATGTATAACTTTGTGGATTCTAACCCCCACCCTACTGCCTTATTTTTGAATGTCATTGCATGGAATAAATGTCAGTAACTACTCATAGCAGTGGTGCATGCTAGTCACAGTGCCTTACTCCTTTATTACCTCTTACACATCCATTTTCTCCTATTCCTGTTGACTAACTGTGCTCCCCTCCCACTCCCCAACCATCCAGGCTCTCTGCTGCCAGTGACTGCTGTCAACGTGGTGGAAACCAGTGGAACACAAGGGCCTTGTCCCCACCCCAGCCTGCACATAGAAACTACACTGACTTTGTCCATGAGCACAATGTGAAGAATACAGGAGTCCATCATGATGTTCATTTTCCCGGCCATGCAGCCATGACTGAGATATGAGTGTTAAGCCCATTAGACACTGGGACTCTTTGTCATGCAAGTTGATGGTATACATTTTCTATACATAGAGGATTGATCACATTAGGAGAATTTGGGAGAAATTATATTGAGTCACTAGTGCGTAGTATTGTTTGTAATTCTGTGAAAGGGAAAAGAATGTGAAGAAAGCTGTATGCCATCAATGATAATGACACATGCTTTTGTATTGAAAGGGTATGTATATATCATTGTGATTTTGGAAAGGTTTTTCATGATTTTAACATGGTAATACATCATTCAGAAGATGTCTCAGGAGAAGGTTTGTGTTTGTGTAAAAGCTATCTGTTATCCTCCCACACCATGCCATCCAAATAGATTGAGGTTAAAAGAACCAGATACACTAATCACACACTGAGAAGGAAGCATATCCAGGCACAATGTATCAGCCTTTGGTGATACTTTGATAAAACTACTTTTCTATAGCATTTTTAATACTTCTACAATGACCCCATGCCTTAATTTCAGTTAAGTGCCTAAGATTCTATAATTGTAATTAATGTAATTTTTAGTTAAAAGCACTTGTACTTTTTGACAAACCAGCATTTTAATTTACCAAAAGATCTAGAAATCACATTAATAATGTGATTCATGTAGAGAGATAAATCTGAATGATTACTTTTACTTGATTAACTAGTTAAGTAGTGGTTAACTAAATTTAGTTACATTACTACTGAATGGTTGTACAAAATGGAAAATGTATTTACTTTTGTCTTTTCATTTTTATCTTTTCTTTTTTTTTTTTTTCATTTTTATCTTTTCTTTTGCATCTTATGCATCTGATAGATTTCCCAGGTTTTCAGCAGCCTCATAATATGGCCTTGTACAACCTTTAAAATTTCTAAAGCCCAAACCATACCACTTTCAAATGGATTAGATATATTACTATTTTGGTTCCTTTATGAACTTTGAATGTAATTATCCAAGCTCTTTGATTTAATTCCCAGAGACAGATTACCTGGAAAAAGTACATTTCTCATATAATAAGAACTGATATAAGGGAAGTATTTCTTTTGCCTTTCTTTAGTTTTTAGAAATTTTTAGCAGTTTGAAAACCTTAAAACTGTGATTTGAAGATATTTTATGGTCTGAGAATTCATAATACGTGAATATAATGAAGCTTTATTATAAACAACCTAACTTACACCATCCTATTTACCTCCAAGGTTGGTCTAACTCTCTGCTAGGTACAGGTTTCAGAGGGCTTTATTCCTAGACTGTTGTTTGCAAATAGAATACAACTTATCAATAGAAAAAAAGTAAGCATAATTAAATAAGATCTAGGAATGAAATTTATAGGCAGGTTTCAATCTGATTTTATCACAGTCATTTTAAGGAGACAGAAGCTCAAAATATTCTTTATCATATCCTATAAATATCAACAGGTTCATATCTTAATCCACCTCCCTCTATCATCATAAAGCATGCTTAAAAATGGCCAGTGATGTATGTCCTTCATAGTTGTTTTAGTCTTTACATAGCTCAGATTATAATTGTCAGGCATTGTTAATGGTAATTTTTTTCTTTAAAACAGGGAATTTGAATCATAACCTTTTAGCACAGAAATTCTGGTTTGTGTCATTTAGGAAAATTTTTCATGGGTGTGAATATATGATTAAAAACCTACTATTTCTATAGTAGACGCCAAAGAAGTATATTAATAAAGCTTTTTGGTCTTTTAGAAAGATGCCAAAATTTGACTTTTCATACTTTAAAAGTAATCTTGAAATCTGAAGGTTAGACTGCTGAACAATGCCTAGCAGAATCTTAACTTTGGGAAATAGAGAAGGATTGTAATAGAAGACTAGTATCTTCAGTTTGCATTGAAA